CGACTCCACGACGCAGTACGGGCTGACCGGCGCCGTCTTTGCCCGCGACCGGAGCGCCATTGAGGCGGCGGAAAAGGGGCTGCGCCACGCGGCTGGCAACTTCTACGTCAACAGCAAGAGCAGCGGACCCACACGCAGAGTCACAAAAGTCCTCGTCTTACACTGAGACCGCAATACTTGCCATTTCAGGTGAACAGCCCACTCGGTGGTTGGGTGTGAAGATAGAGAAGTTGGGAGGCAGGCTGAGACGCAGAAGCTGGCAGGGTGGTAGGAGGCGGAATTGCCTTATTTGCATCCCTTGTAAATCACCTACTTTCCGGTGGTCAATCATCAAGCTCAGCCAACTGGAGAAGCCTCACGGTACCAGGAGACGGACGGTAGGGTCATTGAATCGCCACATCTCTGGGGCCTCGAGATAGCGCGGCGGTCTGCAGCAGAATTCAACGCTTGTGCAATCTGGCTGCATTAAATTGGTTTCAGGCAGACTGCAGAAGCTGTTTCCTCGGACGTTGGGTCTGGGTTGCCCGAAGGCATCGAAGGCGCAAGTTGACTAGGCCACCTACATGCAGCCAGCCTTCCTACCTGGGCCGGGGATGGATGCAAGCCAAGTGGGGAGAATATCAGGCGGTGGATAAGGACATCCAACACGCGCCTTCCTGGTTTCCGGTTACTAGCCCCGCGCCATCCCCCTTGGACCATGAAAGGTATGAACCATGAGTTTCAATCAAAGAGGGCTTCCGCCGTGAGACTTGCCTCGCCATTCTTCCTCGAGAGAGGGGTTCCAGCGCAGTAATTAGAGATCAGCTTGACCTATGTACCTTACCTTATGCACATCGAACAGGTTCTGCTCTTACGATGGCTGCCAAACCCGACATTCTTGTGTCTATTGACCTCGGCACCACTTACACTGGTAAGTTGCTCATCTATTGGTCTCATAGAATATGCTAACTGATATCTAAGGGGTTGCCTGGATGACACCCAGGACACCCATCCAAGTCATTAACGACTGGCCAGGGAGCGGTGATCGGGGAGAAAGAAAAGTCCCGACAACCATCATCTACAATGCTGATGGCAGTATCTCTTCGTGGGGTTTCATGTGCGCAGACGATGACGAAAATGTTCCCGGCAAGACTCGGCGGGAGTTCTTCAAGATCTTTCTCGACGATGATACGTTGGCGGCAGCGCAGAAACAAGGCCTGGAACATGTTCCACGCAGCACTTCTGACGCGCAAAGATACATTACGGACTACTTAAAACAAGTATATGGACACATCAAAGAGAGCATAGAAACTCAGTGCGGTCGACGTCATTTTGGTGGTTGGGCAAGTATGACAGTTACCTTCTTGTTTAGCGCTCCGACTACATGGACTAAAATGGGAGTCGTGAACGCATTCAAGAATGCAATACGCGATGCGGGATTTGGCATCGAAGGACCATGCCATATGGCACAGCTTGATCTAACCGAGGCAGAAGCAGCTGCAGTCGCAACTCTAAAGACGAGCCCCGTGGAGTTTCGATTGGGAAATCTCTTTTTAACGGTTGACGCAGGCGGTGGAACTACTGACCTAGCCTTGATGCAAATTACATCAACTGATGGTGATTTCCCACAAATGTCGCAAATGGCAGCTGTGAGGGGGGTTGGCATTGGTGCCTCCCTCATTGATAGGGCATTCGTTCGATTGGTAGCTCAGCGACTCTCCATCTGCCCTGATGCCCACGATCGACTGCCCACCGATTGCGCCAATAGAATGGCAAGGAGCCACCATTTCAGGACAGTGAAACACAAGTTTGGAGAGAGAGCCTACATGCAGTCCGTCTACAGAATCCAGATGGATGGTGTTTCGCATGACTTTAGCCATCCTGGATTGCGGGTTGAAAACGGGAGGATGGCATTCACTAAGTAACTTGGTTAACTAGCTGTCAAATTTTCATCTTGACTGACAGAATTCAGGCAAGAGATCACCTCCTTGTTTGAGGTTCAAATCGAAGGCATAATGAGGAGAATCAAGGAGCAGTTGGATTGGTTGGGCGTAAATGACCGGCCTCAGCAAGTCGTATGTCCCGCATGACTATGATACTGAACAAGATGTGAATTCTGACATGAATAGGATCATATGATTCTGTCCGGTGGCCTCGGGAGTTCGGCATATGTTCGAGATAGGCTCCAGCAACAGTTCACCAGCTACCCACATCCGAATGCGAGCCAGATCGCAGTCATCCCTTGCCAGGACCCACAACTCGTTGTCGTGCGCGGCCTACTCCTTGATCACCAGCAGAAGATGATATCTGGTAATCTGGCGGTGTTGGCGACTCGAATAGCGCGAGCTAGCTACGGGATCATTGTTCGAGAGATCTACTCGCCAGCCAAGCACTTTAACGAGGATATTGTTGACGACCAGTTTGAACACAAGCAAAAGTGGGCAATCAACCAAATAGAATGGCTCATTCGAAAGGTAAGTCCCTTGACCCCATGATAATACCGGTAAGCTCACTGACACAACCACAGGGGGATGTCATCAATCCAGCGAAGCCGTTAGTGAAGTCATTTGATATTCGTCTCAAAGCAGCCGAGACAACCAGGTCATGGGACGCTAAGATCGTGACCTCCCACAATGAAGTATCCTTTTTGCCAAGCAGTATGAAGCATGGTAAGTCTGCAAACTGTACAACGCAGCATTGTCAACATTTAGAGGAGAGGACATGACTGATTTTGTGCATACTTAGCTGGAGCATTCAAGCTTTGCGAAGTTAAGAGCAACCTCACGGGCGTACAGCAGGAGCAACTCATACTCAAAGAGAAGCGAGGCACGTGTTTCTCCCGAGGCTTCAAGTTCTATATATGCCAATTCGATATACGAGTCATTGTTGCGCCTGCGGATTTGCGATTCGAGCTTTGGTTCGCAGGTCAGAAGTTCTCGGGAAACCACGAACCAATAGCTGTGACGTGGGAGGACGAGGGTACTAGCACGACTAGTGAAAAATGAATGAAGACAAGTCGTGGTATCTTGGTGCGTGTCGCTAGCTGAAATCCAATCGAAAGCATGAGCATTTCTTGCCGCTTGTGTTTTCCCATGAGGTCTAGGACGGTTCCATTGATCCGAGCGGAGGTAGAACTTGGGAAATGTGCTACTGCGTGATCATGCGAATGTCGAATCGAGTGCTAAATACCGTTGAACATGGAGCCATGTGCCTCGTGTGAGGCACAGCGCTAAATACGTATCATTTCCGCGTGTCCTGTTTCAAAGCTGCCTCGTTTCCTTCTCCTACGGTCAGTTGAAAAGCCCCAATCGAGGTCAGCGACAAAGGATACTCAAGGTGTAACAGATACTCAAGGTGTAACACCTTGACGTTACCTAATGCTTGACGGAATAGATAAGCTACAAGTGATGATAGCAAAAGTAATTAGTGCCCGCCTGTAGAAAGGAGGACGGCTATTCCGCACCCACATGAAGGCTATCCCGCACCCATACTAGGCCTACTCGAGCAAATAGCGGGCTACACGTGACTGCACGTGACTGTACCGCCGCAGCAGCCACATTTGACCCGGAATTTCTATTATTCCGGCAGTTTCGAGAGGATTGGAAGGCGCACCTTCCACTGCTGCACCTTCCACTGCCTGCTGCACCTTCCACTCTGCCCTCTTTTATAATACCGCCTATGTGCGCTTTTCGGAGTCAGAACCACGACTTCAGAAGCCAGTCTTTGCTTAGGGGAAATACTTCTCTAGAGCTCATATTTTAGTGCTCAAAAAGGTACTTATCCTACTTCAAAAGTGACTGAAAAAGGAGGTGTTAGACAAAAAAGACGCGTCAAATCAGAAACAACAGGAAGGCGCGCGCCCAATGTGGCTGCTGCGGCGGTACAGTCACGTGCAGTCACGTGTAGCCCGCTATTTGCTCGAGTAGGCCTAGTATGGGTGCGGGATAGCCTTCATGTGGGTGCGGAATAGCCGTCCTCGTAGAAAGGTGTTAGAGCAAAAGTGAATAGTGTCCCGCCCTTGAAGGTGTTTGGTCAACCCTGCAGTTCGCACGCTTTTAGCAACTGGCAATCTCGAGGAATGGTCCTAATAGAGTATGGTCGATGACTGATCGTCGGGAAGGGGTGGGGATTAGCGGGGATTCTTAGTGCCTCGAGGATTGCGCCATATCTAGTAATTGATCGGCAGCCCGGGTCATCTTGTAAATCATGGCGAAGGATATCGAAGAATGGTGGTCCTCTGCATCACACTGTCGATGGCGCCTTTCCGACCGTTTAGTATACGAATATGGAATGTAGAGTAGCTGAAGATCTAGACAGAAACAGTCGTCATCTCGAGGAATGAACCGAATTAGGTATCGTTTACTACAATCTTCCGTCTGTTACCTGTGGCCTCCCGAAACTTCCATACCAGCCTCTCCTGTCGTGATGTTATAAATACCTCGGGCCCAACACTGGAAGTCCTCACATCATGTTCTCTAAGCAGACACATCATTTAATCCGACAAGACACGAACGTCAGTCACACTTGCATACATCGACGTCAAAAATGGGCAATACACAGCTAGGCTCAAGTGATTTCCCCACAATGAACGCCGTTCATGGTACTGCACCCCCTTCTTATTCCGTCGTTGAATCAGATAATGTCCGGAGACTGTCCGCAAACTCGTCATCCTCTAACTCCGTATCTTCTGGCTCGCCATCCTCGGCAGCACTTTCTATGGATATGGTATCTTTGCATTCCTCTCTTCGAGATGAGGAATATGAGATTGAGCCCAAAACAAGCTGGATACCTCAAGAGCCCAGAGATCCGAGGCGCTCGCAGTGCCTGCTCGAAGTAAGCAAATTTCCTCTCCCTGTCAGACTGCTGGGTCCTGCCTGATACTGATGACTTAAAGAAACCAGTAGTTATCCCTAGAGTAGACTTTGCTGGACCTCTCAAAGTCCCATTGCCTTTCACGAGATCATATAGTCCAGTTCTGCAGGCTCATGGGATTTACGAAGAAGACTTTGTGGCATTCCTTGACAATTTGACCGTGGCTCAAGGCCCGCCTGCTCCTTTGGCGATGTTAAACACAGTGGGTAGCATTGCAGGGCTCGTGTAAGCGATTTTCACGTTCCTCACACGACGCTCTAAATGAAGCTGACTTTTTTCCTAGACCCTATCATTGGGCACAATTGGCAGGAGGCATAGCAAATGTGACTGCAGGACTAGGGACAGCTGCTACTCGAATTATTCGGACCAAGCTGTTTCTAGATAAGGTCAACCGTGACTACTTCGAGCCTCGAGGCCTCAAGGCGTCGATATGTAAATCCAACACTCTGGCCGCCAGAGTGGGATGCGGTGAGAGGCTCCCAGAGCTCTGGTAAGAGTCACTTTATCCAGCGCAAAAGTGCCATCCTTCTGACCGTCTCCATCCATAGGCCTACCACACCAGAGACATATGAGATGAGTTTGCAAGACCGCCGAATGCGGACTCTTGCTCCATATGTCGCCCCTCTTAGCTTTGAAGTCCCGCCACCTAGCAAAGAAAGAAATATCGTTGACAGAATGACCGAAAAACAGATTGAGCGGGCTGTTAAGAAGAAAGAAAAGCAGAGAGAAAGGAAAAGAAGCAAAATCAGGAACAGCAACCAGGATCAGCCGCTTGATAAATTCGAATATGTTCAATGTTTAGATGCCAGCCTTACTGACAAAAAGGTGCCGAAATTGGAGAAGCGGTACGAGAGGAACCAACGAAAGATGGAAAAGGCTGAAAGGAAAGCCGCCGAGAAATTGGACAAGAAAGAGCCACTTGAGTCCAAAAAAATCAAGAGGAAGGAAGAAAAGAAAATGAGGAAAGCTGAGAAGAAATGTCAGAGATTGGACGAACATGAGAAAGAAGCCAATTCAAGGCGCGCAGACAAAATGACCAAGAGTCAGGCCAAAGACCGGAAGAAGTCAGAGAAGATGGAGTTTCTATTGATAGAGTCTTGGACAGACTAGAAGCATTGTGGCAGCGGCAAGGAGTTCCCTCAATACCTATATAATGGATGTCATCGAAGTTATCAATTTGAGTAGTCACGTATGAGTCTATCTGACGTGATGTTCGAGACAGGGTTCAAGCGGAGTACGTGTCGAGCCATGGCCCATCTACCGCTAGAGCTGGACGAAATGTGCCTGAGTTGGAACATTAGCCACAGCCCAAGGACTTCGTCCGACTTGCCTACGGCCTCGTACGCCATTCTTATTGGAAATAGAATGGATGAACTCGCAATATTTCGCAGTTTATCAAGATGGTAGTCCACACTGCGGCATATAAGAATGCCAGATTCATGTATCCTGATTGGTACAGGCCCAGGTTCGGGACTAATATGACCTTCTGGATCTCGTAGCGCAAGCTGCAAACCATGAATCAGAAGTAACAGTAAGATCAAGGTCCCGTGAAACAGAGTCAAGGTACTGGCATGATACAGACTGTGAAATTCAAAAACGGTGTCCCAAACTGGCTCACTGGACCTGCCGTATCCGGAGCGCATTGGTGTAGTAGCGACCGGCGCTGGGACTAGATCATACTGATCCAACTCAGTGGATGACCAGCAATTCTCCCATGTCTCGAGATCGTTTAGAACCTTTTGTGCCATTTCAAGCAGAGATATCAGCGTTGAATTGCGAGGAAGCCCTTCACCTTTACCGAAGATATCCTCTCGCAAAACAAATAGTTCGGGGCAATCTGCAACAATATCAAGAAGCAGTTGGAGTGGATTCTTCCGTTCGGGGTATCGCAACCACGGGAGACCTTTCCACAGAGTACTCGAAAGAATGGTAGTTTTGCGGGTGACAAGAGCAGCGAAAATCATTGACGGCCGCGCCTTCTCGAACAGTGCCAAACATGGCAATGGCTGCATCGATGTCGGTCCTCGGAAGTCAAGAAGCCTTTCCAGGCCTCGCGCGTGTTCTATCCATCCGTCTTCGCGGTTTCCAGCAATCATCTTGACCATTTGAGGTTAGCTGCAATACCCACAACCATAGATTTGAGCCATATTCTGTCGTATAGCCTTGTAGGGCCACTCACTTCGAAAACGGCCATCACTACGATGGCCTCTAGAACGTCGAAAGATCGACTTTCCCGGGGGTCACTTAACGCCCTGCTGAGGGCCTTGAGAGCAGTACCGTATCTATAAAGACCATGTTGCAAGACATGCGGCTCTTTCTTATCGATGCCAAAAATCGTTGTGGAAAGCGCGACAAAGCACTTGTTGGTCAATGTTCGATTTATGTCGGGATTTACCACGACCTCCTCGCTCTCGTGCAGTAGATGATTCATCGCGTAAGAGGCGTAAACATCATCCATAGAACCTAGCGTCAAGTATTGTTTTCCAATCTGGGTTGGAATGATCTCGTTTCTCCGGGGCACTACAACTGAGTGCGCAGTTGTCTTTGATCCTATGATCGGTGCTGCCTGAGAGATGTCACTGACATCGGTGCCGGGGGTCGCGGCCCTGTGTCCGTTGTATTGGATGAAGCTGAGGCCGCGACAGCCCCCGCATTTCAATTGCGCCTTGACGCATCTTGCGCACTCGGGCGCGGCAAGATCTGTATCACTTGGATTAGAGGGCATGCCGGTGAGTATCTACAGGAGAGGGGGCGACCTTACCACACTTGACACGCCGACGCCGACAATGGTCGCAGGCTTTACTTCTTCCTCCCACTCCGACCATTTCGTCATGTGGTGAAAAGAAGAGCACTGTGTCGCATGCCAATTTAGGTAAGATTCCCTCGCACCCGGGCCATGGACCTGAGTGATGTGACTTACGCGGGCTAACGCGCAGATTGAATCACGTCTTACGGCCCAGCCTGTTCACGAGCCTCGCGCTATGACAAAAGCGGCCAAGACACCCAGATAGCCTGTGTGGGTGTAATCCACCAAGCCCGAAGATTCCCAATTGTAAGCCCCATAAAAACCATCGCGCTCTCGAAACGGCTGGCATAGTCTGGACAGGCTGTCAAGGTGAAGTAAACCTCAACCATCTTACGCGGGGCAGATATTGGCAGCAACTGATTTATACTCCAACTTTGGCTTTGATCGTTTTCCCAATATTCGGGAATTTCAGAGACTAAACCACCACGGAGTGACACGGGGTCTCTATTAAGCCTGCTCTGTTTGTCCTGACGTTGCTCTTCACGAAATTGGATTTTCAACCATCAATTCAGCTATTGCTAGGAGCTAAGTCTAAGATATGAATAGTGTACTCCGTACTTCACAAGTGATGTTGAAGTTATAGCAAACCGGACAAGGGTAAGTGTTGTTCATGCTGGCGGTTGGTTGCCTTGCACTTGAAGTTGGTTCATGTACTTATTAATTATCGGCAAGCCGGCAAGCCGGCAATCCTGAGACGGCTACCATCTTGCCAGTTTCGCCCTCGCAAATTCCTATCCATGCGCAATGCCAAGAAACGCAATTGATAGGGAGAATGATGGTGGTGTCGAAGTCTAACTGTCGCCTTCGGGGCAATCTTCGCGGAAATCTCTAGCAAAGTTTTGACCTAGCTGGCATGCTACCTATTTTACGTTGCCGCCGGCAGTGGTGGGCAGCAAAATCACCTGAAATCCCCCCCTCATAAGAGCATCGTCTAATTTACTCGGCTCAATTGCTGCTGGCCAAGCTTTGTCCTCTCATTCCTTCACCTTACCTCGACTTCCATCTACGCTGGTTAATTCTGTCATTCGTTAAATCTTCAAACAGCTATGGAGAAGCGGAGGACTCGCACCGCAAACCCATGCGATGGGTGCTCTTTAAGGCGGGTACGATGTCGTATGCAAGGTAATCCGCCTTGTCTCGAGTGCCAGAAACACTCTGTAGAGTGTACCTTTCTGAGAGTTCCACGAAAGCGAGGTCCCAAAGGGCCTCGCCAATGTACATCCCAGAAGGTGGCACACTATCAAAACGAAATCCGTCAATCTCAAAGTCTTGGTTCTATCTCACAAGAACTTGTAAGCCCCGTTGTTGATCACGAGAGCGGCCAGATGCCATTGCGTCTATACATCGAGTATTTAGACAAGTTCCGAGAATCTCTTACCTGCGTCTGGCCCATTCTTAATATTGAAGATCTGAAGTCCAGACTCGTCCATAATCCCCTGGGTGATCGAAGTGCCTGGGCACTAGCTGGCGCTGTCTGTGCGACGGTCATCGCCCAATTGCGACTTTCTCAGATACGCTTAGCAAAGCAAGACACTGCAACTACAGACCTCAGCTCCGTTGCCGAAAGCTTTGCCCGTCACGCTCAGCGCCTGCGAGATCAGTTCATTTACCGGGAAGATTTCTCGACCGAGTCTTTGTTGACAGCATTTTTTCTGCATATCTACTTCGCTATTACTGGGAGAATAAGAACCGCGATTCTATACTTGCATGAGACAATTGCACAGCTACACCTCCAAGATTTGCACCTCACCGAAACATTGGCCAGCCTGGCCGATGAGCAGAAAGAGTTGGTCCTCCGCATCTACTGGCTGGTCTTCGTGTCTGAGAAGTGAGTCAACCGTTTGCTTGTGGTCATTGGTATTTCCAACGATGGCAAAGTCTGACATTATACCAAGGACTTTTTGCGTACAGAATTGCTTTCCGACGTCACTTTCGCCGATTCAGGCTTGGCCGTCTTCGGAATTCCACATTCCGGGGGTTGGAGATCTTGACCAATCTTTTCAACTCTTGGCACAGCTCTTCACACTACTTGATAACAATATCATCATGGCAGGGGATAGAAGAGGGGCCTACATGGATGCTAAAAGTGTAGACCACCTTCAATATGCCCTGTCAGCCATGGACAACATTGCAGCTGTGGCGCCTAGGCTCCCGGAAACACAACGTGTTAACGTCTTGATGACGGGCAATTGGATCCAAATCCTTTGGTGGCAATACGCGCTTCGCCATATCCAGATGTCCAGCCGCGGAGAAAGTGACGCTGCATTCTCAATATTGGAACCTGCATTGGTGGCCCAGAAGGCTATGCGACTTTTCGCGTCTGTCTCCAGAGACTCAATTACGACCCACGGGTTCGGCATGGTATGTAAATGATAGAAATACGAGCGATATTGTCCTTAACTAGGATCTAACGCGGTAGGCGGGGGCTTTTACAGGAGCTCAAGGTATTCCGTATTACGGACGCACTGGTCGACCTGTTGGCCTGTAACAGATACCTGCTTGATTCCACTCGAGTCAAGGGCGGAAGCATGATGGTGGGTCCGAGGGATGTGCTTTACGCGCTCCAAAACACACTGCATCTCATTGGAGGGCCGGAATCTCCCCTGTTCAAGAGGCTTTTGAGGATGATGGCCGAGGTTGCGCTGCCTGTTCCTGACGTCCCAGAAATTAGGTACCAATATCATAAGATCGATGCAGGAAATGATGGAGAACACATCAAGGATTACAAATAGTTGTTCGATGAGGGTAACCACATAGTAAACCCAACCTCTCTACAGTAGAACTCAAAGCATTTGATCCTGTCAGATTAGAGATACTTCCCAGCCCTGGACGCAATAGCAGCCGTCTGAGCCACCTCAGGAGCAACTGATTCCCACCGCGCCCGTCTGTCTTGATATGCCAACTTTCGCATGTTCGGGCGCAATGTATAAAGTATGATCTAATAGGTGCTGGCCAAATTCTATCCTGCTTCAACAATAATAATATGATCTTTTCGCAGAGAGTGTGCAGTCAGCTGATTTTCTGTATAGCTTTACGACGCCACGTACCTTTTGCTGGTAGCGCATCTTTTCCAATCCAGATGACAAACTTTGACCCAGCGTCGTTTACGCTCGCACTCTTGACTGTGTCGAAAATACCCAAGGAATAGGCATCAAAATCAAACTCCATAAATTGCTCTTCGTCAGTCTTCTGATCAAATGTGTTGGGAAACTGCAAACCTGCTTGTCGAGCATAATTAGACGCCTCGTTAAAGTTTACATGCTCAATAGTAACACTGTTTCCATTTCAAAATCATAAAGATCATCCTCGTTCTTCACAAGCACGTTTTAAACCAGAAATATTCCCGGTAAGCACACAGGCTTTATTGTGCTCGTAAGGACAGGGAAGCTATTGTATGACAGGCTGGAGCAGATTAAGTACTGCGGCTTGACTTCGATGAGTTTGCAAAATTGATAGCCGACAAAGATGCGTTGAGAGTAATTTGTTTCTCTTGTTGTTCATCATGGAATGAGAAGTATGCTGCGCATTCGTTAATGTCCCGAGGCAAGGTAAGTGGAAGTCTGCCTGATGGGTTGGCATCGTCACTGATAGCGGCGATTGGTCTTGGCCTTAATTAACTGATCTTTGACGTTGAAATTCACGACTTCAGCTGAGCATTGACCAGACGAGGAACACATGACTCGGGATTATATACTACATTCAGCTTGCGGGAACCATTGAGTTGCGGTAATATGAACGACACCCACAGGTCTAGGCACTTCCGACACCAACAACATCGAGCGTGAAGCGTATTCCGCTCGGATTGATTTCTACCCTAGTCAAGCGATTAGTTCCTGTCCGTGTATTTTATGCTACCTAGGTGTGAAATTGAGTAATTGCCCTCTTTATGTTCATCAATTTTGTGACCAGATGCCATCTGCCACATGAGAAATCCAGGGCACCATGTACGTAGAAAATTGAGCTAGCGCAAGGGTACAAGGACTGCAATAAATGTCCGGGGATGGAGCACGAATACCCGTGGTTGAGTCCCTTTTTTTTGTCTTGCCAATAATAGTCAAGTAGGGAGACATTTCTTTTTCTAACCAACCTGCGGATCTACTTCGCCAGCTGAATACCGTGTCTTTCCTAGACGACAGGAAGGGCAGCCCCGTTGGCCTGCAGTTTGTCGACGCGGAGGTCTAGGCCGAACTATCTTCTGCCCCCAACTGATCTTGTGAGACCAATTTAATCTACTTTGGAATCCTCGGGATTTTTGACGAGGATATTGGTGCCTGGACATGACTGCGAATTGGCAGCTTATATGGGCTGTCATTGGTAAAGCTGCAGCCAGTTTCAGTGCACTGAGCTCCGGGCAGCTCAACAAACTTCTCAGTTGTCGTTTCTGCTTCTTTCTCAATTGACTAAGATCGAACCCGCCCCCATCCCCCTCTGGAATGGCTTGAGAAATCAATAAAGGCACACGACGGTAACACTCCTTAATTTGACCTTCGCTAGGCTCGTATACGAGCTCTCGTCTTACAGTTCAAAAGTGCTTGCCAGGTTGCTCAATGGCGCCGGGAGAGGGTTGATAGGAGCCAGAACAGAGACCGTCGTATCTGAAGCCGCAACAGCCGAAAACCGCGGGCTCACGCTTTTGCTTTCTCAGTTCTGGATCATTTTTAATTCTTTAATGAACTTGTGCGTTCTGCAAGGTACAAGTCATATCGACTATTGCTGGTTGTAAAAGGCAGCAGTGATCTCACAGCGACTAGCCACTTTGTCGCTAGTATTCTTTACTCCCCTAGTGCCAGAGTCGTCTTGATATCTAATCACCAAATGGCGTCTATAGATGGCCCGAAACGCGCTTGAAACGATTCTGGCCAAGGGTAGCTTAGACCTTTATTTTGAGCGGGATATCCAAGTGACCCTCGAGCACCGCATGCAAGGTAGATCAGTTCCTACAGCCATACGTCTTTAAGTTTTTAATGTTTCTAGAAAATAGTGTTACGCAAAACTATCATTGAAAATCTCTCAGGCGTCATACAAACTTCGACCGGATGCCCCCTATGCACGAGTAATTTCCTTGTTTATCTTCCTACGTTCTCCGGTATCGACAATTCTTTCTTCATCACCGTCATATCGAAACGTAATTATGATGTATTGGGCTACTCGTCAATCGTCAGCCTCCAGGGCTTTTTCGGCGCAGCCAAAACTAGAACAGCCGAGGCTTCGCCATCTTCTGCCTAACGTAGTCTATTTTCTACCATGTGTTAGCCAGTGTAGAGGGGTGGACCATTGTTGGCGAAAACTTGTTCCCTCGCCATCGTGCCAAAACCACGTTCTCGGCAGCAGTCTCGAGCTCCGTCTGTAATATGGGTCGGCCCATATGATACTCGTTCAGATGAGCGCGCAATCGTTTGGGCTGACTGATTGGTAATCCGGGTGACTGTCAAGTTTGTAGATATCCAATACTTAACTCTAGACGAACGAATGAGTTGGCTGATTCGGAGTCCTAAACTCTCACACTCCGCGGATTTCGGAGAAGCTTGGAAGCGACCCACTGTAGAGGGGTAGCTATGGACTACGGCATTCTTTCTCAAGAAGACCAGTATGTAAATCAAGCCCATATGACTCTTTTAGTAAGAAATTCTCGTCAATCTTAACCCAGTGAATGGAACCCGGAGCTCTCGCATTGCTACGCAGGTACTTTTGGCTCCATTCAACAACCCCTACCACTTTGCATATCGGTCATTTTCCTTGGGTTTGTTGATCTCCATCCCACTTGCTCGGCTCCTATTTACACGCAAATATGAGAGAAGCTGTCATTACTCCCGACATCCAGGTCGAAATTCGCGATGTACCAACTCCCGTGCCCAAAGCCGGAGAAGTCCTTGTCCGAGTGGTTGTGTCTGGTTAGTTATCCATGACGTGTCATGCGCCTCCGTATCTTACCTAACAGATGCAGGCACAAATTTTAAAGACTGGAAAGTACCTTACATCTATCCCACATCCTTTGAATTCGGGAGACGACTTTGCCAGCGTTGTCGAACAAGTTGGGGAAGATGTGTTTGAATTCAAACCAGGGGACCGTGTGGCAGCACTGCATCAAATTGGAACACCTGGTGGCTCTTTTGCTGAACATGCAATTTCCCGGCCGCAACTACCTTGATTATCCCGGATAAAATTAGCTTTCCCGAGGTGAGCTCAACGTTTTCGTCGTGTATACCTCCGATCGATGACCAAGTTACAACTATATTACAAATTACTAACCTCAGCAACTAGGCGGCGACTATCCCAATGGCTTGCCTGGTGGCAAGCTTTGGCCTGTATGATGTTCTTCAACTTCCATCACGATGGCTTTCTCCAGGAAGTCTAAGCAATCCTATCGTTATCCATGGCGTGGGGACTGCTATCGGGGCTTTTGCCATAAAACTTGCCAAAGCTTCCAATATCCGACCGATCATTGTGACTGCAGGCAATTCAGCTGAAGACATTCGCGGCCTTCTTGACTTCGGTCAATGTGATGCCATAATTGACTATCGCCAGTCAACCAAGAGGGTGGTTGCAGACATCCAGTCGGCCTTTTTCAAGGCTGGAAGCGGACCTGCCTGGTATGGACTTGATGCTGCCACCAGCGAAGACGGTGCTCCCGAATATACAGGAATACTCATCGAAGCACTGGGCACTCAGTGGGGATTGAGCGGTAATCGACCTCGTGTTGCCACTGTTCAAGGTGGTGCCAGAGTTTGTGGCCTTGTAGATGGGGATTACATCAACGTCATGCTGGTTCATACTGGCTCATACTGGCAGTAAGGAGCAGCGTTGCTTTGAATCTCTCATGAGTCACTTATTCACATATGGCATGGCAAATGGATGGCTCACCGCGCACCCCATTGAAATCGTGCAGGGTGGTTTGCAGGGTCTAGGAGAAGCCCCCACGAGGCTTCGAGATGGAAAAGTGTTTGGTAAGAAACTCATTGTGGAAGTGAGAAAGGAGTGAGGATCAATAACGTGCGTTCTTTGGACGTTGGATCATCCTCATCTGTAAGGCAAGCACCTCGAGGGCCAAATGCGCCTTGAGAATCGTTTCGTAGGTCAAGCAGATTTTACAAACAATTGTATGACAACGTATCCTTATTAACATTGATGTAAGTTCGTAACTACATGAAACAATTTCACTTCTGATCCGGGCAGTAAGTAGACTCTCGACTTGAGCTATTGAGAATATCATCAAGAAACAAGGCGATGTGGCAATTTGTCGTAACTGAAAAAATGATACGGGTCAGTCCGGGGTAACGCAAACACGCTAAATCTGCACCATGAGTTCGAATTGACAATCTAGACTGGGCTTGGTATATATGTCTCCACTCATCTCCGCGGAGATGAGCCGAACTAGTCGCCAAATCCGCCCAAAGTCCGCGGACTTTGACGTATGTACTCAAACCCGAGATCACTGCCTTCTTCCTCTTATTGCAAAGCATCGCGAACACCAGTTGAATCCAATCAACATGTACCAAGACAAACGTCAACAAGCCCGGCGTCGCTCAAAGGCTGTGTCGTGCGAGCTCTGCCGAGCGCGAAAATTGCGATGCAACCGTCAATTCCCGTGCTTCAATTGCACTGCTCGCGGGGTGAAGTGCCTAGCTCCCGCAGTTCAGAAAGGAAATGCGCAACGCGGTGCAATCGGGCAGACATAACCAAGCGTGCCGCCAGAGACTGGTATAGATTTGATCCGACGTCTAGAATCACTAGAAGCTCTTCTCGCCGCCAAAATCAGCAACTCGGGAGCATCACAATTACGGTGCCTTGTGACTGACGCCCGCGCTGGTCTAGCGTCCTCGCTGGATATTTTATACATGTTATCGGATGCTTTAATCCTAGAAAGGCAATCCATGGCCTCCAAGGCTAAGGAAAGTCTGACTTGAGGATTCTTTAGTGTTCTATGACTAACATAGCCCCAAGGACTGCAACGTGTCAAGTCTTATTCTGTTCGGCACAGCCCAGATTCGACTTATCAGGAAACCAAGTGCGTTCATATTACAGAACGAAAGCTTCAATTCCCATGAGCCGGTCAAGCGCGTATTGTTGCCTCTTCGAGAAGAGGCTAGGCAGCTCATTGACAAGTACCTCGACGACATCTCCTTTATTCACCAAGTCACTCATGCAAATAGCGTAGAACGTCGAGCGGATGAGGTTTACAGCGCCATTGACTTAGGCCGGTGTCCCTCAATTGAAACGATCGCGCTGCTGCTGGCTATCTTTGCGAATTCTACCAGCCAGTGGGGAACTCACGGTGTGTCGAGAAATGTCTTCAGCATCGTGTCTGACGCTTATTCGCAAGCTCTGTCGTGGCAGACAGCTGGGCTTGATGTTTTAAACTATCTTCAAAGAGACTCACATGTGTCTCTCGAGGCTACACAGGCAATGGTCCTTCCTTGCTATTCTATCGTTAATCTCGAAGGCGTCACGATAAAATTCAGAAACATCTTTTCAAGAGCTGTTGCTATGACGCGTGAACTTGGGCTACAATGTATCGACCTGCCGAAGCGGCTTCTAAGCCTGGTCACACCAAAGCACTCACTTCTTGAGGCAGAAATTGGACGCAGAGTTTAGTGTTATCTCTGTTCTACTGATTGGTCAGTCAACTTGTCATCTTTGCGTCAATATTCTCGCTAACAACTTGAATTATGCAGGATAGTTGCAGGACTGTCCGGCACGCTCGGAAACGTTTGTTTAATCAACCCTTTGCAGATGGCCGTCAACAAGCCTAAGAACATTGATGACGATGATCTTATGGAAGGCAAGGAGATCATTACAAGACCGATGGACCAGCCAACTTGTATGTCTTTTGCACTCCAGCGCATCCACCTTGCCGAGGTTTTCCGGGCATCGCTTGAACAAACGCAGTGTGCAGGGTTAAGTCCAGAGGCCATCGGTTATCAGCAGGTACAAGAGCTCGACACCCAGCTTGTTCGCTTTTGGGATGACACTCCCGCGTTCTTACGACTTGACCATGTCTCGGGAGGCATGAAGGATGATCAAGCGATAATGAGAATCCAGCGGTACGTGCTGCAAGTTTTCGTTCATGGTCAAAGATGCAGGATCCACCTCCCGTTTCTCGCCCGCGGCGCCTGATACGCGGCATCTCGAATAGCTTGCGTCGAGTCTGCCCGGTTTATTATCCGCTTAGAGGAACAGCTGCAGCAATGAGAAGTTGAATTTGCTTCATCACGATTAAGACTGTCCATTATTCTTCACCATATTTACTTGGCATTCGTCGTCATCCTCTTCGACTTTTGCCTAGATGCCCCGGAATCGGTACATTTGAACAACTGTCCCGAGCTGGCCGCAGGGTGAAAGATTTTGGATGAAGCCAAAACACAGCTACAACAGGCAGAGGTCCTCATTGAGCCTCTTCGTGACGTCATGAGGAGATATCGTGTGCTACCCTTCGACGATGGAATGTTCAGCCCTCAATCGACAGATGGCATCTTTCATGGAATCGCAGTCAACTCCACATCATCCGCAGAGCTGGACGGCATGGTCACAAATGAAGACGTAGGACATATGAAGTTTGTTGAAGACTGGAATAATCTTGGGGCAAGTTTGGCACTGTCTCGCGATGATTGGTCGAGACTTCTTGAAGGTTTAAGTGATCCCAGTCTTGGAATTAGTAATTAACGTCGAGGTCTATCTACTTTAGCACATATTCCATCGTTCCGCCTACTTCGATCTTCTTTTAAGTCTCATTCTCGCAGAGATGAATGTAGTCAATCAGCGCATTGGGTGGACCCTGGCTCGCCCGGCATGAGGTACATCGTAGGTAGACAAGCCAATTACACGAACAGCCATTCCGCAAGAGCCACCGGAAGATCAAGGTCTGTACGATGTGCACATAAACCACATAAACCACATAAACCACATAAACCAAGAGGGTGTTGGCGGCCGAGACTCAAATTTTCAGTTTACTAGAAGTCTATCTATCGAGATATTTTTCCTTATGTTCTCTTCACACGGGACCCACTCTGTAGACAAGTAGATAATGATGTCGTACCACTTCAAGGTGCGCCATGAAGGACCTCCACAGCTTCAAGAGGCTGCTCTTAAGTCCCGCCTAATTGACCAGTTGAAAACTCCTATGAAGGCCGTAAGCCTTACCCTTGATCGGCTACCCCAGGCTCCAACGTCTCGCCACCAACTCAGCCAACTCACCAATCTTGCCCACGTGGCCACCACCTTTCCCGCCCGGAAACTTGACGAGATGTCGAGGGCTAAATCGAGTCACAATTTTCGGTTTTTCAGATGTTATATAGTGGCATGACTCAGACAGGTGAATACACATGGGGCTTCGTCATATACCACCGTGCTTGAAGTGACGACCACCTTAGTGACCATTATATGGCAGGAAACAGGAAACCTCCGCGACAATTTATCAAAGTCAGCGGGGTCGATATAGAAGAACAATATTTAAATCTTGCCAGATCGAGGATCACGATACCCTAGATAGTAGTGTTGCCTGCTACCCTCTACCCTCAACGTCGTCGCCGACCAGGTCTCCTTCCACATTACCGTCAAGACCTTACGAGTTCCCCAACTTGGAGAGTACAGGACCGCACGCTACTGCTCTTATATCAGCACAAGTTTGTCGGCTTACGTCATATGCTGCCAAGCTTTTCTCAGCATCTCTGTCGGCTTGCAGAGCCAGCCAGTAAGCCAGACGGTTCAACGTCGTCAAGGACATCTGCGCTAACAAAATTCCGTTCTCGGCAAAGATCGACTTCCCGTGCGGTGCCACCGGGGCGACGATCGGCGACGCGACCAAGCCTTCCTAGTGTATCGAAGAGCCAGCATGATTGGGTCAAATAAGGCCCCCCCCCCCCCCGCTCGGAAGTATCCGTAAGGGATGGGGTTCTTGCAAAAGACCCTAGCCTGCAGGGCCATTTACATGGATGCTGTCCAACAAAGCTTACTTTTCACTTTAAACAACAACCTATGTTCCTGTCGCGGAACAACACAGCCAATCGGATAGATCAGCCCTTGAATTGAAGATATATGTAGCCCTTACCTATCATACCAGGCTTTTGTCATCTGGAAGGTGTCTCAAGCCGGTCAGGCCAGCGAAAATTATAACAGCGCAATCTCGTGTGGTGATACAAGCCAGATCTACCGGCAAGAACGAGACTCTCGGATGTAAGCAATCACTTAGCCTGAATTTCGCTTGTCCATGAGCCAGCCTGGCTCGGCTACGACCGCCACGAAGAAACATGCGGCACAGTTTTGAGTTGGTGCCCTGCGCCGCTTAGAGTGGACTTTGACAACAACCAACGACCAACCACCGCACCAGTGCACCCAGGTAGCTTTCCATCAAAAATGGAGACACTGGGCCCCAATGAAAGACTGCCTAGGGCAGCTGCATATACGAAGCCGCCCCACAGGTTGATCTTCGAACAGAACATTTCGGGGCCCGAGAGATTCTGTCCGGGGAAGAACAGACTCCACGGGTTTGTTCACAGTAACCAAGTGATCTTGGTAATGTTCGCACACTTCCTTCCTATTGATCATGTCCTGAAGTTAGAGGGAAAATGGGCGGACAGACTGAATAGCATGGAGAAAGTAGCTATGATAGCCTCGGCATTACTGAAAATTATTTTCTTCGGGAAGGTGACAGAGTTGATAGGAGTTACCTAGTACGTTGCGATATTCGCTGCCTATGAGGTTCTATACTAATGAGCATTTTCCTATTTAAGCCTAGACCGAAGATGATAGGGATGATGGTGATGATAGTGGGTCTGTATATGAGTTCACAGGGATAATATGGCGGCTATACAGGTTTAGTCACGTAAGAGGCAAAGCAGACGGAGCGTGATAGTGATAATGGTAAATCCCCTGATAGCCTCGGGTCATAGGGACGGGACGCTGGCTTCACGCATGCAGTCATGGAAGAGGCAAAGCAGACGGCTAAGCTACGTAAAGAAGCCAATGAAGATCGGAGAAGCAATGGTTCCGTTCTTCTTCACAAGTATATAAGGACGTTGCTGTCCGCCTCGATAACATGAATCTTTCTTCATCCTCAACCTCATCATCTAATACCTTTCTATTGATCAAAGAACATCCTTGAGTAAAACTCATATCATTCACTATGCAGTTCAGCTCTGTTCTCGTCTCTATCGCTGTCCTTGTCGCAGCTCCTCTTGCTGCCGCCGACAATTGCAATGCGCCTCTTAACTACTGCGGCTCCAGCCTACTGAAGAAGGGTTAGTCAATTATCAGTCACTTGGGCATCTCTCACGGAGCTCTTTTTGGTCTCTTTGCTTATAATTCTATTCCAGGGAGATACAACGACCAGATCCTTCAGGCTCTCCTCGTCGCTGGTCAGTCAACTGACTACAACCACATCAACTACTCCATTTTCAACTGCCTCGGCGGCGAGGGCGGTGCTATCAAGTTTGTTACCTTCTGCGGGGGCAGCTGCAAGGATAACGGTCAGGGCAAGAGCGACACTTGTTAAGCTCATTACCTTGGTTCTGGGTTCTGGCGGTCTTGGGCCTTGGATGGAGAACCAGAACACAGGGGAATGTCAGATTCGAACACCTTGACTACTTATGGGTGAAAAAACTGGGGTTTGCCGTCACGAAGCAAGGACGAGCTAATTGATGGATGATACTAAGCTGTCTTAGTTTCGTAATACAATCATTGGTCAACCCATACTCGTGTTCCGTTATCAATAATTAAAACAGAACTCCGCCTTGATGGATAAGCGCGGTGCTGTCGTTCGGTGAGTTGTAGTATAGCGACCCTGCCACTAGGGCCTGGATCAGTGACGCGCTCTGTCTCATCAGGAACGTGGGAGGACTGCCAATGAGAATCTGATACTGACATACAACACATATGCAAGCATGAGAAGCCAATGTCTCGTGATGTGCGATCTGGAGGGAGTCCGTTCATGCTCAAAGGCAGTTTGACGCCTCTGGTGCGAAATTGGGCAAGCTTGCCAAAGGGAGACTGGTATCTATTCGTTATGCCGACGGACGTGGGAAAATGACGGTATTGGTGGTGCATTAAATTCGCATTCTGGTGAAACTGTCTTTAATAGTCGGGCCTCATCTGCCGCTCTGTAGGTAGTGTGACGCCTGTGATGAAGCCCGCCACGTTGGCACTATCGTGACATGTAAAGCCTTGGTCTTCCATGAAACTCCAACTTTCTGCTCTAGAGCTATGAAAGTGAGATGACCCTTGTTAGGAACGAGGACATTGTCAAACAGTCTGTGGGCTTGCTGGCCTACCTTAGTACAAAGTCGCGGTCATCGACAGGCCATGGGCGCTCGTCGTTGCTCGCATTCCCTTGGCCCACTTCAACGCATTGCTGGCATCCAGTCAGAGAGCGCTAGTCCTAGCAAAACATAGACGGTCGAGATACCAAACACTCCAAGACCGGGACACACTTTCAATTGACACACGGCAAAATGCAACTATACTCCTTTCTCACTTTGGTATTGAACGTGTGAGTAATCCTGAGGGACTCGAGAAGGAGTACTTCGTCTTGTCTGAGTACTCCTGACCTGAAGTGGCGCTATGATTAGAGGGGACTTTCAGCTTGGTATCAAATCCCGGTTTCCAGCCGATGATAAGAGACGAGAAGTAAATCTCTTCCTCACCCTTCGTTGGAACTTGTCCTCAATACGCCCGGGCTTCTTTATGCGTCCTCCTGCCGAAGAACGCGGCTCCCACAACGTCAGGGTAGTCCTCTCAGTAGCTTAAAAGCATTTGGAGTAAAGTCTTGCACACCAACTCAGGATAACCGAGCATTAGTATCATATCGTAAGGTAGAGCGCGAACGTAGCTATAGCGGAGTATAGTCGATATCGATACCCGACTATAAACTCGACGTATACGCGAGGCGACGTGGAACTGAGCGAGGCATCTTTCGTGATAGGCAATTCTAGCCTTTAGAACTAGTCCAGTCAGTTCGAACCAAGTAACACAGCTCGCGCTTCTTAAGTCCGGCTGCTTGGCCCCAACGCTAGAGCCCTTGAAATTATTCTGTATGCCACTAATTCTGGGCTATAGTCGTTGTCGGCATCTTCTCCGTTAATCATTTCACCGCCTGCGTGATGTCATAAGAGTATTCTGTTATA